TTCCTCTGTGATCTACATTGTGCTGTAGTTATTTATGTACTTTGGTTTTGTGGTCCAAATACTACCGTTTCCCCACCCCCCCCAAAAAATTGTAAACTCCTTTTGTAAATAAGAACCGTGTCATTGTTGTTTGTCAAATTTTCCAGCATGGAACCTTGAACATAGTTAAGTGCTGGATAATTTATCTGTTGAATTGAATTAGATCTCCATAGAAGTTTTTTTATTCAACAATGAACCATTGATCCTTCTGTGAGAATATTGGTAGGGAAATAAGCTGGAACATTCAGATGTGACCTTTCTATAGTGTAGTGGACTAGTGGTTTATCTGCCACTTTCTAGTCATGTGACCTTGAATAAGTCACTTAACATCTCTGAATCTCAGCTTTTCCATGTTAAACTTATCTTGTAAATGGTAGACTAAAAAGATGGATTTTAATTGTTTAATTCCTAGTCCAGTGCTCTTTCTATGCTAAACTCTTAAACAATAGAATGTTCCCTGTGCTTGTATCTTAAAATGTCTTAGGTGGAACTACATGTAGAAGGCATGCTCCTCATTCTATAAAAACTATAAAGAGTTTATTTTTGTTTTTAAAAAATGCTTCTGACTAAGTGTCTTTAAGATCCAAATAAAATACTTAAAATCATTGATAGTGCAGCTAGATGACTCAGTGGATAAAGCGCAGGGCCTGGAATCAAGAAGACCTGAGTTCAAATTATTAGTGAATAAAATTATTTAAGGACTTGCAGTTAACATTGTTACTTTTTTTTTTAGCATTCCATAAATGCCTAAATTAAATAATGTATCAATGGGTGGGCATAGATAGGAACCAGACAAATTATATCAAGACTATAAAAAATTTTTGTGACTCCAGGTAAGTCACTTAACCACTGTTTGTCTCAGTGTCCTCATCTGTTAAATGGCGATAATAACAGTATCTACCTCCCAAGGTTATTGTGACAATCAAGTGAGATAATTGTGAAGCGCGTGGCACAGTGCCTGGCACATAGTAAGTGTTGTACATTGTTAGCTATTGTTATTATTACTTAGAATTACCCGTTCAAAAAAGATGTTGTACCTTTTCAGTTTTTAACAACAATTTTGAAGCAATTTTAAGCCATTGATATTCAAAGATGCTTTTCTGGAGAATCTTGTTTTTGCTCAAGGTTGCTGTAGATATCTCATCAGGGCAGTATAGCTTACTAATAATTTAAATAAGCAAATATATTTTCCTTCGTACTACATATTAATAGCGATGGTAGCTAGATTTTTTGGACATTGTGCTTTTTTAAAAGTTCACTTCGAATTGAATAAAGCTTGTCAACTGGATGTCATGTTGCATTTTAGTTGGCAGTGTTTCATAAGGGAAAACGAGCTATTCATCAAAACTTTATTCATTAAATGACTTGTTTTTATAAAGGTGATTTTTGTTACCTGTTTATTACTTGTATTGCCATAGACTTTTTGGGGGAGGAGGGAGTCTAGACTTGTGATTTCATTTATGAACTGGTTAGGAAATTCAGTCTTTCATTGCAGGTAGGCAACTGTTTTGCAGCATATAGGCTTTAGCAGGGCTTCTCAATCTGGGTTATGCATATCCTCGTGGAATATAAGAAGCTTCTCAGGAAGTTTTGTGGATATTTGGTAATAACTACATCAACTATTGAAATATTCCAACAGTAGTAGTGTTAATAGGGGAAAATTATGGATTCAAAAGAGAATAGTGAGGTGGTGGAGTTGGGGTGTAAAAGGGAGGAAATGTTATAGTACATCTAAAAAACTTGAAAAATACAATTGAAGGAATAATTCCTACTAACCAAAACTAAATGAATGAGATTGGTATAAAAAATCCATTTTGTTTTCTGTATTCATATTTCATATGAGTGATAACACAGTGAAAAATGAACTAATTGACCTCTACGATAACCAGAAATTCCAAATTGATTTCTAATAAATGAAATTACAACATTTTTGGTGTACCCTTAGAAGAACCATATCCTATTCTTAGTAAATGTTCTCATAAAGCTTTAGTTCTATTTATAACAACTTAATCTCTGTGAATCAGGAATTAAATCAGGCCAGTTCTCAATCAAATCCAAAGCAAGAAACAAACTGAAGACTGAACATGAAACATGGATATCTTTCAGAAACTATGTTGAGAATAAAACTATTGGTTGAAAGAAAATAGAAACAAAAATCTCTCACTAATTTATTTGTGAACTAAACATCAAACAACTTTATAACATGCTAAAAATGCTATGTACCAAATAGAGTTTTCTATATAAAAAAAATTTGCTATGCATAATCAAACTCTGCAGTTTATTTCCTTTCATATTGAATAGAGGATATGAAAGGGTTAATGGAAAGCCAAGGGGTGTAGGTTCCAAAAAGTTTGGGAACCCCTGTGTTCGAGAGTTGCATGGGCTTAGTCACTGGTCACAGAACCAGCATGTGTCAGAGACAGAACCTGCACCCAGGTCTTCCTGACACCGTGATCAGCTCTCTTTATCTACTGTACCGTAAAGGTATCTTCTCTACCATAGATGTATTTTCAGTTTGAAAAATCAAATTTTGAAGTTTTCTGACGATTTTTTGATAATGATGCTTTGATTGTTTAAATGATGACATTAGTTATAGACTCATCACTTCATAATTTTATTTGAATATTCTATATTTGAACTATTCTTGAACAGTTTTCCTGGTAAAAATTCTGCATTTATGACTTGGGTTTAGTAATGATCTGGAACCAATTATCCCTTTCCATAAGGAGAATATATATTCTTATGTAAATGTGTTATTGCTTTATTAAAATGGGATATATGGAGTTCAGACATTAATTACTAATTGAGGTTTAATTGTGCCATTTACATCTCAAAATATTATAAGCAATAAAAACTAGTATTCAAATCATATATTTCAAGATTTCAGATTACATATTTTATCTTTTGAAAAACACAGTTACATAGTATAATAGAACTAGAGCTGAAAGATAACCTTATAGGAAATGTGGCGCCATTATTATTCATATGAGGAAACTGAGGCCCAGAATAGTTGTGACGTGTCTGACATCACATAGATAGTAAATATCTGGCATTTGAGGTATTTAAACGTAGACCCTCTAATTCTAAAACCTGTGCTTTTTCTATTTTGCTATTCAGAAAAGCGGCCATGTTACTAGGCCATTTACTTACCAGTCATATCTTCATAGTAATAATTCATATTTTTATGTAACAGGTTAGCGTTTGCAAAGCACCTTCCTTACAGCAAACCAGTGAAATAGGTGGATCAGGTATTATCACTTCCATTTTACAGATAAGGAAACTGAGGCTCAGTAGTTGAGGCTTGCCCATCTATACGCACACAGTTATGAATTGAACCAGTACACAAGATTTCGCAGAAGGATATGAATAAGATGGACACAGTCCTTTGTGACTATCTTACATATAACTTGCCCATGATTTCATATGTCTTTATAGACACTGTAACCCTTGAGCTGTTTGTGAGCATTTCAGTTACTGTGTTTAATATTTTTTCTTCCTTTCATCTCAGTTTCTTTTCACCTTCCCCACTTTATTGATCCAGTTGTATGGTGAGGATTTGGCAGGGACTTTGAGTCTACCTTTTGACAAAGATTGGCTCTAACTTAAAATAGTGTTAAAATAACTGTACTTGCAGTTCAGGATAAGTTTTACTTTAAATTCATTTTGACTTGAAAAATGTTAATAAACATTGTTTTCTTTAATTAACAAAGAGCCTGTATTTCCTTGGATATTATTAGTCATAAAGAAATTTGGTGTAGTTAAATAAATAGTATTTCCAATATAGCAGATATTCGGATTGTGATAAACTATGGAATTGTCAGTGAATGTCTTGAAAACGCTAGCTCCTTTGAGCAGGTAAATCGTTGTCAATTTTCCTAACTGCTTACAGAACTTGTGATTATATTTATTTGATAGTATGAAAACATTCTGTAGGTATGTTGCTGAACACTTGTAATCCCTGCTCCTGGGGCATGGTTGAAGTTGACAGTTCTCTTGAGCTTGTGGGTTCTGAGCTACATTTGGCTAAAAGCAATTAAGTATTCACATCCAATCAATATGATGAACCCTTGTTGGGGGGAACCCTAGGTTGCCTAAGGATTGGTGAACCAGCCCTTGTCAGAAAGCCCCTGTGCTGATCAGAGTGGGATCTTGCACGTGATTAGCTCCCACAATTACGGCTTAGGTGAGATAAGGAGACCCAATCTATTTTTCTTTTAAATTTATTTATTTTTAGTTTGCAACATTCACTTCTATAAGCTTTTTAGTTTTAAATGTTCTGCCACTTCCTCCCCCCCCAAGATGGCGTGCAGTCTGATGTAGGCTCTATGACTGCATTCCCATTAAACATATTTTCACATTAGTCATGTTGTAAAGAAGAATTAGAACCAATAGGGGGAACCACAAGAAAGAAGAAACAAAAAAAAACAGAAGAGAAAAAAGAGCAAATAGTATGCTTCCATCTGCATTCCAACTCCATAGTTCTTTCTCTGGATGTAGATAGGATTTTCCATCATGAGACTTTTGGAGATGAAATCCAGTCTTTTTTGTTTTGTTTTTTTGTTTTTTTGTTAGGCAATTGGGGTTAAGTGACTTGCCCAGGGTCAAGTGGTGAGTGTCAAGTGGTTGGTCTGAGGCCGGATTTGAACTCAGGACCTCCTGACTTCAGGGCTGGTGCTCTATCCACTGCCCCAAGACCCAATCTTTTTTAAAAAATAAAATAAAAATAAAAAGGAAAGCAAAGAAATTATCTTGTTATAATAAATATCTCTACTTTCCTTTGCCTTTCAAATGAAACTTTAGGTCTGAAATTTCTTAGAAAACATTAATTAATTACTGGTTATTAGTATCTTTTTCACATGGAATCAACTTTAGTTATAAAATTTCTAAGTGTTTCCCACATTTACTTCATTTACCTCATATTGAAACATTGGTTGTTAATTTTATACTTTTTATATTTTCAGATAACTTGGATTTTTACTCCAGTAACAGCTGAAATAGCAAGTCTTGATAGTGGAAATATAGATGAAATTTTAAGTAAGTACCTGGAAACTTAATTTTCTTTTTATAATTACTATTCCATAAAGAGTTGCCTGTGTGAAATTACTGTAAAACTCTGACTAATTGGAATACTTGGGAAATCAGTATTCTGACTAATTTAATTTCATTAGTAATTGAAGGGAAACCAGAAAATACTTTTGATTTCAAGGATTGTTTAATCTTTTTAGAAAGATATTGCTACTTCCTTACTCTATTGAATATATTAAACAACTTCATGTTTTTATGATAATTTACTGTCTTATTATAGCTCAGTTTGTATTATAATTCTTAATATCAGTTTCAGGCTGACTTACAAATTCAGTTCTTACTATGTATATATAATACAGTAGACATAGACATTATAGTATTTGGAGCTATGTACTTAATGATATGAAACCATACTCCAAAGGTTGCTCTTTAAACAAAATCACTGATAATTTGATTAGTTGTCAGCTACCTCATCTACAAAAAAATGTAAAGTACATTTTTTGATGCCTTATTGGTTGAGAATTGCTACTTAGTTACATTCCAAGCAGATGGTGTTTTACAGTTATATTTGCAAGTAATGTGATTGTAGCCTCTGTTAAAGAGTTTTGGGATGACTATGGAGATGGTTTTCCATTTTTGAAATGGTAATGGGAAAGTTACTTTGTGGATGGTGATTATAATTTTGAGGTAAAACAAGTGATTTGTTGAAAAATTTAAAAACTTTGTGTCATATTTAGAGTTTGCTTATTTCTTTAGTGATTGTTATTGTGTTAAGTAATGTATCAATCCACTCATTGAAGTAATATTGCAAAAATTAAAGTGATATGGGTTAAAATAAACAACGTTTTATAATGAATGTCAGGGGACATGCAAATTGTTGTAATGTATTTTGTCCAAATCGAAGTCCTACTCTGAAAGACCTCTCTGTAGTTAATTAGGGAGTCAAAAGAAGTGATTTAAATCAGGGGCAGGTAGGTGGTAAAGTCAGGAGGACCTGAGTTCAAATGTATCCTGAGACCAAACACTTGACACTAGCTGTGTGATCCTAGGCAAGCCACTTAACCCCAACTGCCAAAAAAAAAAAAAAGAGAAGTGATTTAAATCTAGTAAGTTGATGGGGGAGGTATTACATCTGTATCACTTTTTGTCTAAGGCATGAGATATTTTCCCGGTATGTTTTGATGGGTAGTGTGGAATTTAAGTGGTTTTTTGCAACTTGATGGCAAGGCAAAAGTATTATATGGAGTCTGACTTTCTCCTCATTCCTTCCTGTGGTGATATGCAAATGTCAAAATTATTTTGTTATAGAGAGTTATTGATAAGTGAATAGGGACCAAAGAAAATACAGCTAATCCTCAGTTTTTCTGGGGGTAATGTTCCTAGAAAACAGCACAAAAGTAAAAAAATGTGAATATTGATACATTGAAGCTATGGGGGTTAGGTTCCCATGACTGTCAAAAACTTGTAATCTTTGCTAGAGACTGCTAAAAATATACTTTTCTGCATATAGTTCTTTATAACAAAATGTTAGTTCTGATAATATGCACTTTCCCTAACACAGTAACTGTGAAATAACTCAGAGTAGACAAAATAAATTTGACAATGTGTAAAAAACATTTTTTTCCTCACTAGTAATTCCCTGGAATTCTGTGAACTTCTGTGCCAGTATCTCAATTAAAAAAAAAACACGTTGATTTCAAATAATATTCATTTTTCATAATACATGAAATCTACACTACCTTAAATACTGACCAGCAAATAAAATTCTTAAAACAAAATCATTTTTAAACTTGAATCTTAACTTCCACTCAGATGGTGGTGTGAGGGCATTGTACTCTACACAGGCATACCTTGGAGATATTGTAGATTAGGTTCCAGACCACTGTAATAAAGTGAATATCATGATAAAGCAAGTCACACAAATTTTTTGATTTCTCAGTGCACATAAAAGTTATGTTTACACTATACTGTAGTGTATTAAGTGTGCACTAGTATTATCTAAAAAAAAAAGCAACATACATACCCTAATTAAAAAATCCTTTATTGCTAAAAAATGCTAACCATCACCTGAGCCTTTGGCAAGTCATAATCTTTTTGCAGGTAGAAGGTCTTCCCCTGATGTTGATGGCGGCTGACTGATCAGGGTGGTGGTTGGTGAAGGTTGGGATGGCTGTGGCCATTTCTTAATAAAAGACAGCAATGAAGTTTGCCACATTGATTGACTCTTCCTTTCACTTGAACACTTAGAGGTCATTGTAGGGCTATTAATTGGCATAATATCAATATTATTGTGTGTCAGAGAAGAGGGCTGCAGGAGAGGGAGAGAGATGGGGAAACAACCGATTAGTGGAGCAGTCAGAACACACAGCATTTATTGATTAACTTCATTGTCTTATATGGGTATGGTTTGTGGTGCCCCAAAACAATTTCAGTAGTAACATTAAAGATCACTGATCATAGATCACCATATCAGACATAATAATAATGAAAAAGTTTGAAATACTGTGAGAATTACTGAAATGTGACACAGAGACAGGATGTCAGCACATGCTGTTGGGAAAATGATGCCAATGGACTTGCTCAACGTGGGTTGTCACAGATCTTCAATTTGTGAAAAACAGAATCTGTGAGAAGCACGATAAAAGTGAAGTGCAATAAAATGAGTTAGGCCTGTACTATATTGCTATAAACCTCTCTACCTTGGCTGCCCTCTGAAAACCAAGGACTTTAGTCACTACTGTTGGAGGGCATCAAAGATGGTGAGGTCTCAGCACCATGTTAGAGCCCAAATGACTTCCATTCTGCTTTTGGGGCATAATTGCAACAACAAAACTTGAGTTTAAAAACAAACAACGGAAATATGTGGTAAATACATGGGGAGCTCTTCACAACAACAGGGTGAACATGACCAAGGAAGCACCTAGTAGGATGCCCGCTGCTCCACAAACTTACGCATATTGTGCCTCTATTTTTTTCTCTACTGTGCATAGCTGTGAGTGTGCACAGTTGCCAGTGTGAAAGTGAAAATGAGGTTACTAGGGGGCTGCTAGGTGGCGCAGTGGATAGAGAGCACTGGCCTTGGACTTAGGAGGACCTGAGTTCAAATCCGGCCTCAGACACAAAACACTCACTAGCTATGTGACCCTGGGCAAGTCACTTAACCCCATTGCTTAGCCAAAAAAAAGAAAAGAAAAAAGAAAATGAGGTTACTAATAAAGGCATGTGAATGCTTGAAGTTACAAAAGTTAAATGTACAAATGCTGTATGGTATTGTTAGCTGTAGAAAAATTGTTATAATCAAATGGACCATCTTTTAGAATTTTGAAGTAGCTTTGTGCCTATGTAGCCAATCTTAATTTTCTGTACTTATGGAGCTTATACACAAATCTCATTTACAACACCTAGTTTTATTTCTCTCCTAGCTTTTATGAAGGCTGATACCTAGCTAAATTGATTGATCTTAAATTGATCCTTCTCCTTCCCCTGATCCTTTGTAGATGCCAAGAACAATGAAATCATCTAGAGAGAATGTATATTAGAAGGCTGTGAAGCAAAGGGGCACTTCAATAACTGTATAAGTTGGCCCTGACTGATTGCATTCAGGTTTCTGAATAAAATTCAAATGATAGTAACAGAAAAAATATGGATATGAGTAACTTAAGTATGTTTTTTTTTAATTTTAGACAATGCTGATGTTGCTTTAGTTAATTTTTATGCTGACTGGTAAGTAATAGTTTTGCTTTTATGAATATTAATATTTTTTATGTTTCATAATTGAATTTTTTCTGGTAGGAAGGATTGAGAAATCTTTTTTTCTCCCATATTTATGGCCATTTAGATATAAGAAAAGGGCAAGGGAGCACATACCAATAAAAACAGTTTAGTGAATTGTTGATTTTAGGAGGAGAAAGGTACCTTCTCCTCCCCCTTTTCAGTTAATAGGTAGCACAAAACTCCATTTGATAAATATAGCAGAGAATAGAAAATATATTCTGGTTCCTTTTGACCAGCTAAAGAGAAGTGAGGGGGAGGATAATGAAAAGGAGTGATGAGAAAGAGGAGGAAGAAATAAGAAAAATAGAGGAGAATAGGAGGAAATGTATTGGGGAGATTACCTTCTTGTGCTCAGATGCCTAAAAGATATAGCACAAGGAAAGCTTTAGCTACCCTTAACAGCTTCATTATGGGACAAAATATATTCCCTGAGTTCTTTATTCTTAATCTATGCATGATTTAGTTTTTATGGTATAGATGGTTAAAAGGCAAAGGAAAATCATAACTATAATTTCTGTAGTGTGCCTTAGAGTTTATAAAGTATTTTTCTCACAACTTCATAGTTAGTTAAGTGCAGCCACCTCCATTTTAAAGATGAGGAAACTGAAGGTCAGAGAAGTTGGTGACTTGTTTGCTGGATACATGGCAGAAGCAGGCACATTCTCAGACCAGTTCCCATGGTCCTGGAAAAATAGAACAGAACTTAACAGTATAGTAAGGCTAATGATCATCTAGTATACCCACTCCTTTGTTTTAAACTTTTATTGATGCCTTTGGTTTTTATATTGCCTTAATTTCTGAATGAGGCAGCCAGGTGGCTTAGTGAATAGAGTACTAGGCCTGGCGTCAGGAAGACCTGAGTTCAAATTAGATCTCAGACACTTAAAAGCTGTGTGACCCTGGGAAAGTTACTTAACTTCTGTTTGCCTTAATCTACTGGAGAAGTAAATGGTAGGGTAGATAGTAAGGCCTAGAGGCCCCCCCTTCTTATTGTAAGGATTGTAGTTGATGCATCACTGCTCCTTGTGGTATTTTTGAAGTGTAAAGCTTTTTGTTTGGGTACACACACACACCCCCCACACCCCCCCATCTGTTTTGAAATCTAAGCCTAGCCCTCTATAAATTCTTATCACTTTTCTACTTTTAAAGATAACTGAACAGATATAATAAAATCTGAGTATCATAGTGATAACCAAGCACTTTTCTGAAAGCTTTAATTTCAGTTTTATATGTACTATTGTCATATTACAGTAGTATCACAGATTTCTGTTTCAGTGCAACTCTAAAAGATCTTTAGATATGTATTCATTCTGTAAGCCTTAGGTACTTTTCTTCCCTTATTAAAAAAAACCCAATCTACATCTTCATTCTTATATACTCTTTTTGGTCTTTGAATTCCTTTAGAAAAATACCAAAGTGGTTTAACTTTATTTGAAAACTGTTACATTGTAAATAAATTAATGGTATATTGTTTTCAACATGAATAAACTCACAGTGAGTATTAATAACTATAATAAAATCTGAATACTTCGTTTTTCCATTTTAATTTGTATCTTCACTGTGAATAGGTGTAGATTCAGCCAGATGTTGCATCCAATCTTTGAAGAAGCCTCCAATGTCATTAAGGAAGAATATCCAAATAAGAATCAAGTAGTGTTTGCCCGAGTAGATTGTGATCAGCACTGTAAGTACTCAGTCATATTGTAAGTGGCAAGGACCATCTTGTTCATTTTAAATGCTTTGTTACAATCTGTTTGAAGTGGCATACCAAAAAGGATTTTGTGACCTTTTCCAAGATGATGGTGATTGTTAATGTTTAATCTTGGGAAATTATTATCTAAAGCTTTACTTTCATCTTTGTGAAGTACTAAATTATGATATGGTTAGATTGGTTTTGTTATATATATATATACACATATATATGTATGTATATATGTATACATACATATATATGTATACACACATATACACATATATATGTGTGTACACATATATACATACATATATTAGATGAGAAAGAAGGAGAACTGGTACAAAATAGCAAGGTTTTAATTAGAGCAGTAATAATAAAACTTATTCAGATTTAAAAATAGATTTTAAGCTGGGTATGAATAGTGATCAGATTTCTAATGTCTTTAGAAACATCTTAGAGATTGACCACAATTTTTTTGTTTGTTTTTTGTTTGTTTTGGATAAGATCTGTGATTTGATCTGTATAGGCAACTCCCAGTGAGGAAAAGCCCTCCACTAGATGTAGCGCTCAGAAACTGACCCTCTTGGAGAGTTCTCTGGGAGCACTGAGAGGCTAAGTGAATTATGTGACTAGGGTTCCGTAGCCAGTGTTTGTCGGAACCAACATCTTCTGACACCAAGTTCAGCTCTCTCCCTATGACTACCTGGCTGCCTCAGCTGTTATAGTTATTTAAATCTTTTTTCTTTTTTTAAAATCAAAGTCATTAATTATTTGATTTGATTTAATGGATTATTGTTAGTTACTGTAGCACTTTATAACATCTTTGGAAGCTCAGTTGTCTGATTGCTATTATCATTTGAGCACTTGGAAAGATCTTATGTATGACTTGTTTGAAGTCATATATTACCACTGAATACCCTTCATTTTACGGGTCATGTTCCAGTGCACAAGAGCATGCCTGTCAGTTTCCTCTAACCTTCGGCTAAGAAGTATCAGTGCTGAAAGTAGTGCCTACGTTTTAGAACTGTCATTCTTAGGAGGTCAGTGTCTACCTCATTGCTAATTAGATGCCTCCCACTCTCCCTATCTGCTTTTCTTTGTTCTACTCATTCTGTGGAAAGGATTCGAAATAAAAATACTAGACTTTTTCTAGTATTTTTCTAGTGAATTTCTCAAACCTTCTATTCACAGTTCTCCCTCACACAAGCTAGTAACTCATTCCTAATCTAAATAATTAAGCAGGATAGAACCTCTAGCAGAGATATTTCATGCAGGTACAGACAGAATTCTTATCCTACTTCATCCCACACCACTTCTTAGGTTCTACCTCCTTCACTTCAAAGACTTTATGGGGGCAGATAGGCCACTAACTCCTGATTTGAAAGTGTGTGGGTTAAAAAAAAAAGTGTGTGGGTTCTCTTGGGTACTACAGTGTACATAGCAATAAAGTTTGTATTATAAAATCAGAAATCATGTTTTCATGCCTAGAGTTCCTAGGAAAAAAGTAGATATTCTCCTTATAGACTGTCAAATCCTCCGTTGTATGTTGGAGAGGTGCAATTGTTCTTAAAGTATGCTGGCATCAGTGCCTATATTTACCAGGGTTTGTTGTTTTTAGCTTTGCATTTTGCATCTGCTAAGTCTTGTATAGACGGCATTTCTTCCATTAGAGACTTATAAATTCAAGTTTCTAGCCATGACTTCGGTTGATGGAAGTTACATATAAGTGCATTTTCTATAGATTTTTTTCCACAGTGCTTAGCACCATGCCTGTCATGAGTAGGAACTTAAGAAATGCTTGTTGACTTGACTTTTCCCCCTATTATGAGAAATTCTTGTGTTTAAAAAAAAATGGATGACGTGGTAACTTTAATAAGTTTTTTTGTTCCTCTCTAGCTCTGTTGTTGGTCTTGGAGTTGCTTTTGTGTGAATTCAGGGTGGAAGAGTCACCCTGTAAGCAGTGGTGCAGGTGACCCTGTATTTTTCAAGTTAATATGTAGGGTGATCCAGGCAGTATGCAAGGTGGATACTTTCCTTACTACCCTTTAGGAGAAGATATTTTTGTGATGACGTTTTTAAAAATTACATTTTTCAACTATTTGCCTGTAAAACAATGGTGAGACACTTCCTTAATTCTGAGACACAGCAATGCTTACAGATACCACTATCAGAAATTGTTTTGGCTCAGTGTAATGAAGAATTTCATAAGAAGTAGAGCTATCAAAAATAAATTAGGTTTCTCCAGAGGTAATATATTCTTTTCCACAGAAGTGTTAGAGGATGGATTATCATTTATCTGGGTTGTATAGAGGAGTTTCTGTTCCATCCAGGTAGAAAGATTACATGGCCTCTTAGGTTCCTTCTAGGGCTGCTAGGTGGCGCCATAGTGCATAAAGTACTGGGCCTGGCGTCAGGAAAACTCGTCTTCCTGAGTTCAGATCTGGCCTCTGATACTAGCTTTGTGTCCCTAGCCAAGTACTTTAACCTCAATTTAAGCCTCAATTTCCTCATATGTAAAATGAACTGGAGAAGGAAATGCCAAATCAATCCAGTATCTTTGCCAAGAAAACACCAAATGGGTCACTAAGAGTTGGACATGACTAAACAAGTTTGTTTTCACTCTGAGATTGTGACCTGTGAAATCCCTTCTATAACTCTAAGAGTCTGTGGTTGTTTAAATTTATATTTTCTTCTTAGCTAGGTTGAGCATTTTTTAAACAATTATTTACAGTAATTTGTTGGAGATTGGATTTTGCCCTTAAGTATTATCAGTTCTTTATCACTTAATGACTTTTTTTTTTCTTGGAAACTGATACATGGGAGCATTGGATTTAGAGGTGAAAACTTCTCTTGAGATTATCAGGTCTAACTGTCTCCTTTCCTGATGGAAAATGGAGACTCCGAGAGGTGAAGTAAGTTGGCTAATATCATCCTAGGAATGTCTACTTGGTTACCTCATTTCTATCCTTGTAAGTATTTCTGCTGTAGAAAGAAAACCCAAGGCCTCTCCCCCTCAGTCACAGATCCTGTATGGTTCTTTTCAAGTAGGAGAGTCGCTTGAGTAGCTGTCTTTTCAACCATGTTAGTTTTTTTTTCCTTAACAGAATAAGGCTTCTTTCTTTACGCGGACTTATTCACTGAATGTGCTCTTGTTTCTCATACTACCTTTAAAGATAATGTTTTGGTGCAACGTACTTTGCAACAAGCACCACTCCAAACAGACCCCACTGAAAAGCATATTATTGCCCAGAAAGTAAGCAAAATTGCCTAGCAGTGTTGTCAGCCATTTGAAAGAAGAGGTGCCATTGAGAGAGAGGTGTGATCATGAAGGTCTTATCTTTTCTTTTCCTCATACAGTCATTCATAATGTACATCCAGCTGAGTCACTTAGGACTCCTTACTCCTAATCTAGTGTTTTTTTCTGCTATATCAGACCTGTAGTTTTTACCTTCAAGTCAGATGCCAAAAGCATTTAGCTTTTTAAAAATTCTGATACTCCTGTGTTTACCCATATCCCTTTGATGATAATAATAGTAATAGCTCTATTTTGTGTGATATAAGAAATAGGACAGGAATATTGTGAGTAACTATTATTTGTACTATATTTTAAAAATCTTTGCTTTGACCCTTCTGTCCTTAGCTACCACACCATATCTTTCTTCCCTTTCACTTCTGAGAACTGATTTCAGATCCTTGGGTGGTGACTTAGTGGCCTAATGATCTTGGGCTAATCACTTACTTTCCCCTGTCCTCGGTATTCTCATATGCTAGGTGAGGGGGCTAAACTAGATCAGGGGTTCTTCATCTTTATTTAGTGGACCCCCCTTTCTCAGAATGATTTTTTAAAAATTAATAACATAAGATTATAAAGGAAATCAATTACATTGAAATGCGGTTATCAAAATATATGTTTTTAAAGTTCATGGCCTTGAGGTTAACAACCCCTTATGGATGAAATTCTAAGGTCCCAGATCAGAAATTCATGATTTAACATAATGCTTTGGAATTTATTGTAAACATCAGCTTGGTGAGGTAGGTAATACATATGTTATCCTAGTGGTGTTTTGGTTTTTGGTTTTTTTTAAAAGACAAAGAAAATAAGGTTCAGAGAGCCCCAGGTAGGTACAGTGACTTGCCGGAGGTCATACAGTAAATTTGTGGCATAGCTAGTCTAGTGTTTCCTCTGTACCCCTATTTCTTTCTCTTCAGATCTTCCCTACAAACTTATATTAGTAGAACACTGGAACAATAGGTGTTAAATAGTTCATTGGTCTTATAGAAGCTCAAGTTGAATTGATTATATTCAGCAAAAACTTTAGGGCTCCTTCTCTTACTAAAGTCAGGTCTAAGGGTAAGTTGGACAGTCTGGTAGATTGGGAATAGCACTGGGATTCGCCAGAGAAGTTGGGTTCAAACCCTGACTCTTCTGTTGGTGACCTTGGAGAGACAAGTCCATTAACCTCTCAGTTACCTCTTCTCTAACACTTGTCCTCCTATGAATTCCTTAGTGATGGGTTATACTGGGCAGGGAGAGGGGGCCAGCGGAGGACTCTAGGTAGGGTCCTGGATTTTTTGTGGAGCACGTCAAAAAGCACACTGTCAGCAGTTTATTGTGTGCATTCTGCCTATTGCAAGTGTCTCTGCTTTAAGTAATAAGGCAGCTATAATTGACCAAGGCCTGTGAAGTCTCTGTAAGACCTGAACCAGCTGTACTTAGCAATTTTATGTTAATGGTGGCTACCTGGCAATTATAGATTTTAATCTTAATAGAGATATTTCATCAGCTTGAAATTTCATATAGAGGAGACCTTAACTGTATAATTTGTACACTAGAATTCCCTTAGGCTATCACATCATTTAACTGTTTCCCTAAACTGTGTGTATTGTATTGCAAGGGATGAAATGCGGTCAAACAGAGGTACCTTCAGAAAAGCTTGAGATAGTGGGAGAAAGAGTCTACAACCTTTTTAGGGGAAAAAAAATCTTTCTCCATTTCTTTTTTGTCAACTAGCAGTTACGTTTAAGGAGAGAACCTGAAATTCCTATTAGATGAGGCAGGGTTTTGGGCCCTATTTTGTCACAGTCATAACTATTGACCTGCCAGTAGGTTTTATATGGTAGAAGGACCCATGAAGGGAAGATATTCCCTTCCACTAGAAGGAGTCTTATTTTTATTGTAATAAGTACTTAATTTTATGTTATTGCTTGGGGTGACTTCTGATGCTTGATGAAAGGGATTTTTCACTCTTCCTTCTTAATAGGGGATACTTAAACATTTTTAAGATACATCTGTGATCTGGATCTGCTTACCCATCAATGAAAGTTGGAAGACGGGATCTATGCTTTTGAAGTTTGTAAGAAAGAATACACATAACCATAAAAACAAAGAGAACAGTAAAATGTTGAAAAGCAGACTATATCCATTCTTCCTTCTCAGCTTGCTTTTCTTTATTCCTCCTTCCCTGCTATTGAAATCTTTCTTTTAAAGGCTCAGTTCAAATGCCTTCTTATCCAAGAAACCTTTCATGATCCCAGCAGATTCTAATGTTCCTTTCATGCTTCCTTTTCTTTTTTTCTTCTTTTTTTTAAACCATTATTTGTGTGTAGGTCTTTCTTCTCTACCACATTAGAAGTGCCTTGGGGAAAGTAAAATTTCATTTGTTTTTATATCCCTTGCAAGATCTAGTGCCTTGCAAGATAGTGCCTTACAATCTGTCAATAAACAAGCATTTAATTAAGTGCCCTACTAGGGAGTCACTATATAACTAGGGAGTTATATAGTGTATATATAGTACACTGGGCCTAGAGTCAGGAAGACCTGAGTTCAGCTTTGGTCTTAGATACTTGCTAGCTGTTTGAACCTGGTCAAATCATTTAACCTCAGTTTGCCTCAGTTTTCACAATTATAAAATGGGGATAATAATAGCACCTGTCTTGCAGATTGTGAGGATCAAATGAGATGATATTTGTCAAGTTCTTAGTACAGAGCCTGGCACATAGTAGACAATAAATATTTATTTGCTTCTTTCCTACTAGATTGTTACCTCCTTGAAGGCAGGGATTGAGTTTTTCTTAACTTTGTGCTTACACTGTGTTATATACACAGCAGACGCTGAGGAAATGTTAACTGACTTGATTTTTGATAAGACAAAGGCCCAACTTACCTATTCTTTTAATATGACTGAAGCAGTTTTTGGTTTTTTTTTAACTTTTCCATTCTTCCTTTCTCTTAGCGGAAATAGCCCAAAGATACAGGATAAGCAAATACCCTACCCTAAAACTGTTCCGGAATGGTATGATGATGAAGAGAGAATACAGGGGTCAGAGATCAGTGACAGCAATAGCGGATTACATCAGGCAACAAAAAAGTGACCCTATTCAGGAAGTTCATGACTTGGAAGAAATCAAATTTCTTGATGTAAGTTCCTGAAGCAACTTTGTTCAGTACCTGTCTTGTAAAAAGAACTGTATTACATTAGAAATCTTATTATAACCAAAAAAAAGTGATAAATTACAGTTCTTTAGCCAATATGTTCTTTTTTTTTGATTCACTTCAGCATTTCAGCATAATCAAACAGTGACTGCTCTTAAAGCCTGTTATAGGATTAAAGTTTATTGTAATAGAATTTTATCTGTACTGATTTTACTTTTTGAATTACATTTTAAGATGGCAGCTATCATTTTGCTACATGAAAAATTGTTGATTAGAATGTATAGAGTACATTTAAATCTGACTGATTTGAGTTTATTGGCAGGGAGGAGGAAGGTGTAAATCCAGATTTTTTCCCCCATACATATGGCTTAAGTTAGGTTAACCAAAGAGATAGTATAGAAAAAAGCACCAGAATTGGAGTCTAAAATCTTTTGTTTACATCTTTGCTCTGCTACTTTCTTTCAGTGTGACCTTGGCAAAGTCACTTATTAACTTTTCTGAAGTTTCTATATCTGTAAAAAAAAAAAAAAAGGGAGCTGGGCCCCCTGTGCAGTAAGGGTCCTTTTCACTCTTTAAGTCAGTGCTCCTAGGAGAAATATCGTATATAGTTTTTTGCTTTAATGAATTAAAATAACTTGTAATCATTTGTCTGTCACTTATTTACATATAAGTATTAATTTGAAATGGTGCTTGAAATCAGTTTATCCTTTTAAATATTTTAAGTATTTTCCCCTCTTTACACTGTTAATTTACCTTAAAATTCATTTTTTCCACCATAAATTGTGCCAAGGTCAGTTGATAAGTGTTTAAGTGCTTACTACATGAACTTGTAGTCAGCCCAACCTTTTTTTTATATCATCACAAATGTTAAATTTGTGTAGTTCCACTTACTAAGGTTTTATTATATTTTAAAATGCATCCAACCCAAAGTTTAAAATTTTAAATGAGAAAAAAGACTTGCTAATTAATTAAACATTTAAAAATGGATTTTGGCCTTTCAGAATAAAATGCTGAAAATAAATTTTAATAAATTTCTGGCTGTCATAAACATCAATACTAAACCAAGCATTTTTTCATATTATGAGTTTTAGTGTTTGAGGTTGAATTTATATTTGGTTATGTATATATTTGGGAACATGAGTGACAGCTATAGCTCTTTAGATACCTGAAGAAGGAATATATAGTGTCATGTTGATATAGTATGTAATAGGGTAGAGAACGTTATATGTAAAGAACATTATGTGCATGCTTTTTTTTATGTTTATAGCGCAGTAAAAGAACAATTGTTGGATATTTTGAACAAAAGGACTCAGACAACTATAGAACCTTTGAAAGAGTAGCAAATATTTTGCATGATGATTGTGTCTTCTTTTCTGCATTTGGGTAAGTTGATTAATGTTGGTATTTGTATTTTTTATTTTTGACTCAGCCTCATAGATCTCATCTGATTCTGAGACTTTGTAATGTGACTTTCTATTAAATTTCAGCTGCTGTTGAAGGGGATTATTATGTATATCTAACATAGTTGCTTTCTCCTAGAGCCCCACAGTGTCTCAACCTTCCATTGCTTTTAGGCAATGCAAAGAGTGCATCTAAGTATCCTGCCTAACCAAGGTCTAGAGGGATCAGAGGGTAACTGGGGTCCCACAGTGATGGAAAAATTGAGGGTGGGTACTCAAAGTCCTTAATGAATAAGGCAAGGTGAAATCCAGAGAAAGGGGTAGAGGGCACCCCTCAAACTGGAAAAGTTAAAAACTAAAGCCTTACATTTAGAGGAGAAAGCAGCCACAGAAGTATTGATGGGAACAACTTAAAACCAGAGAGCTCAGCTAGAAGTTACCAAGACAGAGAAACCAGGGTAGCAAAGCAGACAGGTAGGGGACAAACTGACAAATAATTGACAGTTGAAGCTCTCAGCACTGTTGGTCATGCTACTATTTTAAAGGGCATGCTCTCCAGTGTGAAGTTAATACATTACCAACCAGCATTATTGCAAGGATTGCTAAACTGAGTGCTGCATAATTTTGATTTTATTGTTGCTATTGACAATAATTATTGCCAAGATTCAGCCCTAGTAACCTTGAAGATCCACTATGTATATCACCATTCTCTCCTTTTCCATAGGACCTAATACTACCTTGCATACTATTGCAGTATATGAAAGAATTTCAAGTCTAGACCATCCTAAATACCAGGGTTCCAATAATTCATGGACAGAAAAGGGTGTGGCCAAACACTAGCCATGCCTGGAGGTGGTCACCCCTATTTGTACTATCTGGTTAGTCAAGGCTTTCTATCACTGCTACCTTACAAAACCAGGCCTCCTCCCTGCAACCTAACAAAAGTTACTTCCAAGGTAACACTCTATAAAAAGGCCTGGCTTGTACTGTTTTAGAGAGATACAGAATGAGAAAGCTCTAATCCAACATCCTCTTTGGGAAGAAATCTTTGATCTTTGCTCAACCTTGCCTTACTTTCAGGTCTCAACTGAATGTATTAACTACAATTCCATGTTTCCCTACTTTGCCTCCCTTGTTTCCTTTCTGTGTTCTCTTCTCTACCTCATCCTGATCTGGCAAGATATCCTGACCTTTTATTAAGCTTTCTCTAACTCATATCTCTTAGTCCTAGTCCTCTCTTCTAACAAAGCATTTGTCTGGCTAGTCCTACTTAACACCTGGGTAACAGATTTTAAACTCCTTGTCTGTGTTCTTGCATTCCTGATATTTGGTGATCTGGTCTTATATACTGAGCCCCAGCAATAAGAATTCTTGTAAAGTCCTTTAGGTAATCTCAGTTAGTGTTGTCCCATCACAGGCAGTAGCTGAGAATATTTGTAAAAATTCTTTAAAACCAGAGTATTCAACTAGATAACTTCTAAGCTGCTTTCTAATGCTAAATCTGTGATCCTATGATCTTTTGATGATAAACAGACCCCAAATTCTGCGTCATATGGTGGCACAGCCCTGGTAAGTGTTTGATATAGGGCAAAAATATTAAAAGCATCCTTTTCTGATCATGATGCAGTAAAAAATTACATGTGATAAAGGGCCATGGAAAGTTAGACTAAAAACTAATTGGAAACTAAATAATCTAATCCTAAAGGATGAGTGAGTCAAACAGCAAATCATAGAAACGATAACTTTACCCAAGAGAATGACAATAATGAGACAACATACCAAAACTTATGGGATGTAGCCAAAGCGGTTCTTAGGAGAAATTTTATATCTCTGAATGCTTATATGAATAAAATAGAGAAAGAAGAGATCAGTGAATTGTTTATGCAACTAAAAAAGCTAGAAAAAGAACAAATTAAAAATCCCCAATTAAATACCAAATTAGAAATTCTGAAAACCAAAGGAAAGATTAATAAAATTGAAATTGAGAAAACTATTGAACTAATAAATAAAACTAAGCTGGTTTCATGAAGAAAAAAAATCCAATAAAATAGATAAACCTTTGGTTAATTTGGTTAAAAAAAAGAAAGAAGAAAGCCAAATTACCAGTATCAAAAATGAAAAGAGTGAATTTATCACCAATGAAGAGGAAATTAAAACAATAATTAGGAGCTATTTTGCCCAACTGTATGCCAACAAATCTGACAATCTAAGTGAAATGGATGAATATCTACAAAAATATAAATTGCCCAGATTAACAGAAGAGGAAATAAAATACCTACCCTCATTTCAGAATAAGAAATTGAACAAGCCAATATTAGCCAAGAGATTACAGCAACTTATCACGAGGATAATACATTGTGATTAAGTGGGATTTATAACAGGAATGCAGGGCTGGTTCAATATTAGGAAAACCATCAGCATAACTGACCGCATCAACAGTGAAATTAACAGAAACCATATAATTATCTCAGTAGATGCAGAAAAAGATTTTAACAAAATACAACACCCATTCCTATTAAAAACACTGGAAAGCATAGGAATCAATGGAATTTTCCTTAAAATGATAAGTAGCATCTATCTAAAACCATCAGCAAGCATTATATGTAATGAAGATAAGCTACAAGCAATTCCAGTAAGATCAGGGGTGAAACAAGGATGTCCATTATCACCATTGTTATTCAATATTGTACTAGAAATGTTAGCTTTAGCTATAAGAGAAGAAAAAGAAATTGAAGGAATGAGAATAGGCAGTGAGGAAACAAAACTATCACTCTTTCTAGATGATATGATATACTTAGAGAATACTAGAGAATCAAGTAAAAACTACTTGAAATAATTAATTACTTCAGCAAAGTTGCAGGATGTAAAGTAAACCCACCTACATCATTGGCCTTTCTTTATATTACTAACAAAGTCCACTAGCACGAGCTAGAGAAATTCCATTTAAAGTAACTGTAGACAATATAAAATATCTGGGAGTCTGTCTGCCAAAACAAATCCAGTAACTACATGAACACAATTACAAAACGCTTTTCACACAAATAAATTCAGATTTAAATAAATAGAAAAATATCAGTTGCTTATGAGTAGGCCAAGCTAATATAATAAAAATGACAAATCTACCTAAATGAATTTACTTATTCAGTGCCATGCCAATCAAATTACCAAAAATTATTTTATGAAGCTAGAAAAAATAATAACATAATTCATCTGGATGAACAAAAGTTCCAGAATATCAAGGGAATTAATGAAAAGAAGTGCAAAGGAAGGTAGCCTAGCTGCACCAGATCCAAAACTGTATTATAAAGTGGCAGTCATCAAAACTACTTGGTACTACTGGCTAAGAAATAGAGTGGTGGATCAGTGAAGTAGGTTAGGTACACAAAACACAGTAATCTTACAGTAATACACTATTTGATAAACCCAAAGACTCCAGCTTCTGGATAAGAACTCACTATTTAACAAAAACTGCTGGGAAAACTGGAAAACAGTATGGAAGAAACTAGGCGTAGACTAACATCTTACACCACATGTACCAAGATAAGGTCAAAATAGACACATGATTTAGACCTAAAGGGTGAAACTATAAGCAGATTAGGAGAGCAAGAAATAGTTTACCTGTCAGATCTGTGAAGAACTTATGACCAAACAAGAAATAGAGAACATTGTGAAATGCAAAATGGATAATTTTGGTCACATCAAATTAAAAAGTTTCTGCACAAACAAAGCCAACACAACCAAGGCTAGAAGGAAAGCAGAAAGTTGGGAAACAATTTGTACAGCCAGTGTTTCTGATAAAGGCCTTATTTCTAAAATATGTAGAGAACTAAATTATATTTATAAGAATGCAGATCATTCCTCAATTGATAAATGGTCAAAAGATATGAACAGGCAGTTTTCAGAGGAAGAAATTAAAGCTATCTATAGTCATATCAAAAAATACTCTGGGGGCAGCTAGATGGCGCAGTGGATAGAGCACCGGCCTTGGATTCAGAAGGACCTGAGTTCAAATGCGGCCTCAGACACATAACACTTACTAGCTGTGTGACCCTGGGCAAGTCACTTAACCCTCACTGCCCAACCAAAAAAAGAAAAAAAAATACTCTAAATCACTATGGATTAGAGAAATGCAAATCAAAACAACTCTGAGGTACCACATCACATCTGACAGACTGGCTAACATGACAAAACAGCAAAATGGTAAATGTTGGAGATGTGGGAAAATTGGAACACTGATGCGTTGTTGGTGGAGTTGTGAACTGATTTGTCCATTCTGGAGAACAATTTGGAACTATATCCAAAGGGCTATAAAACTGTGCATGCCCTTTGATCCAGCAATACCACTACTAGGTCTGTATCCCAAAGAGATCATAAGGATGGGAAAAGGACCCACATGTACAAAGATATTTATAGCAGCTCTTTTTGTGGTGGCAAAGAATTGGAAATTGAGGGGATGCCCATCAATTGGGGAATGACTGAACAAGCTGTGATATATGAATGTAATAGAAAACTCTTGTTTCATAAGAAATGGTGAGCAGGAAGACTTCAGAAAAACTGGGAAAGACTTGCATGAACTGATGCTGAGTGAAGTGAGCAGAACCAGGAGAACACTATATACAGTAACAGCAACATTTTGCGATGACCAGCTTTGTTAGACTTAACTCTTCTGAGCAGTGCAATAATCTAAGACCATTCCAAAAGACTCACATTGAAAAGTGCTATCCACATCCAGAGAAATAACTATGGAGTTTGAATGCAGATCAAAGCATACTATTTTCTCTTTCTTTTGTTTTTTCGTTCTCATGGTTTTTCCCTCTTATTCTGATTCTTCTTTTACAACATGACTAATGTGGAAATATGTTTGGTGTAATCATATGGGTATAGCCTATATCAAATTGCATACTGTCTTGGGGAAGAGGGAGTGGAGGGAGGGGGGTAAAATTTAGAACTCAGAATCTTATAAAAATGAATGTTGAAACTAAAAAAAATTTTTTAAAAAGAGAAAAGAGTTTGATATGGGAATCAGCATGAATTAGAAAGCAGCATTTTAATGAAACCTTTGAGGTAAGATCTTGGTTAGATTTAATTATGGTGAATAACTTGAGAGTTAACATAATTTTATAAAGAATTACACTGAGCCTAAGGATTCTAATAGGTATGAGTGAAGAGAGAGTGCATGTGAGATGATAGTTTGTGTAAAGACATGAATATGGGAGATGGATTGTAAGATAAAAGAACAGTGAGTAGACCAGTGTGACTAATGTGAAATAAGTGTGAAAGCATAGGTGGGAGTCAGATTGTCAAAGATTTTAAATGCCAGGGTGTGAAGTTTAAATTTAAAATGTTATTGGAAGCTACTGGAAAATTTTGAGCTGGGGGATAACATGGTCAGACCCATGCTTTACAGAGGTGGTTTTGGCAGCTGTGTGGCGAGGGAGCAGAGAAGAAACAGGAGGGCAAATTAGATGCTCAAACTGCCAGTGTAGATATAAGTCTTGATTTATACTGATGGCAAAAACACAAAATCGATTAGTTTAAAATTTACCTTTTGTTCTGTGTATTCTTTAGTTTCTTTAAAAAATACTCCTTTTAAAATTGCGTTTCACGGTTACTGCGTAATCATAATTGATGAAAATGATGGGTAGCTTAGATTGGGAAATGGTTAAAACATATGTTACATGAATATAATGGAATGTTACTGTACTGTAAGAAATGATAAATCTGAAGAATACAAAGAAACTTGAGAAGAGGTACATGAAATGCAAAGTGAGTACACAGAGCCCAGTAAAGAGCGTATACCAAGATGACAACAATGGAAATGAAAACAAGAAAAATGAATCAGGATAGGTTCAAGTCCTCCCTCTGACAATTCTTACCTATGGGAAATTAGGCAAATCACTTAGCCTCTGGGCCTACTCATATGTAAAATGAGAGTGGGTATCTAGTTGGCCTCTAAGGGCCCTCCCAGCTTTAGACCTGTGTTCCCTATGAATACTGCCTAACACTGCTGAATCAGCCCGGTCTTAAAGAAAAGAAAATTCCCTCCTGTTCCTTCCTTGGAGAGGTGGAGGCGCGTGGCTGTGGAACATTACACTGTCACATTCTGTTGGTTAGTTTTGCTGAACTGTTTTCTCTCTCTCTCTTTTTTTTCATTTGTTACCAAGGGAATTCCATGGGTAGGGAAGTGGGGAGAGATATATTTAAAAACAAAAGATTAATAGAACATTTTAAAAAGCAGGTTTAATAGGCATGTTTGGGTTTTTGTTTTTTTGTTGGGAATTTTGTACTGGTATTTAAAATGTGTTGTTTCTGTGTTCTCTCTCTCCTCCTCCCCACTCCCAAACATCAGTATTACTTCCCAATAGAATACTCCCTTGTAACAGTAAGTATAATCAAGGAAATAGAGCAATATTTTGGCCACATTTGAAAATGTATGCCTCATTCCATATTTGTTTTCACCTATCTTTTTGCCAGTAGGTAGGAGGCATATTTTATCATAAAATCTTCTAACTTGACAGTTAGTGACTGCATTGATCAGAATTCTGAAGTATTTCATTGTTTTTTTTTTCTTTGCCTTACTGTCATTGTTATGTAAGGCACTCTGGTTCTTTGCCACCCATCACTTCATTCGAGATTTTACAAGTTTCTCAGAATTATTCATATTTATAATTTCTTACAACACAGTAATATTTAATACAGAAAAATCAACTATTATTGATACCATTATTTGTTTAGCTATCACCCAGTTGATGAGCACCCATTTTACTACCACTTTTTATTACAAAAATGTGCTATTATAAATATTTTTATATATGTGACCTCCTGGATATATACCTAATAGTTGTATTCCTGAATAAAAGGGTATATACAGTTGAATGATTCTTTTAAGAATAATTCCAGATTTTTTTCCCCCAGAAGTAGACTAATTCACAGCTTCTTCAACAGAACATTAGGGTTCCTGTCTTTCCATAGTCCCTCCAACATTTATCGTATTTGATTTTTCTCATCTTTGCCTTTCTGAGTGTGAAGTGAATCAAAGTTGTTTTGATATATACTTCTCTTATTATTAGTGATATGGAGGATTATTTATAGGTTTCTTCTTTTGAAAAGTACGTGGTCCTATTTGTCAATTGAAGAATGGCTTTTACTCTCTATGTATGTCAGTTATATTTTTATCTTGGATATCACACTTTCATCTGCTGAAAAATTTTATTTTCTCTAGTTAACTGCTTTGTTTCTAAAGCTTTTTAAGTTTATATAATTGGATTGTCTCTTTTATCTCTTATGATAACATTTATCCTTTGTTTAGAGAAGAATTCTTCCTCTAACCATAGTTGTGTAAAATATTTCTACTTTAATTTTTTTACAATTTTACATTTATAATACATAAATTTCAGCTATTTGGATGTAGAAAATTGTCATCTATCCAGTTGAAGCTTATTGTATGTGGCATAAGATGTTTAATTAAGTGAATTTTCACCAAACTGCTTTCTAGTTTTTCTAGCATCTTTTGTCAGATAGTCCTTATTCCAGGAAGTTGTCATCCTTGGGTTTATCAAATAATGAGCTACTATGTTTGGTTGCTTCTAGTCTTGGTTACTTACTTGGTGCATCCCATGGATCAATTTTTCTATTTTTTCACTACTACCTAATAGTTTTATTGATCTTTGCTATAAGGTAGAGTTAAGTTCTGGTTGTCTTCATTTTTGCTTTTTATGTACAGTTTTCCATTGAAATATAGTTAGCCAAAGCTACTGAAATTTCATTACTTTTTTTAAACTTTTGTTGTCCTAATGGAAAAAGTATCTTCATTTACTTCTTTATTCTTATTAGGTCTGTTTCAAAACCAGAAAGATTTAGTGGAGACAACATAATCTACAAACCACCAGGGGTAAGTTTATTGGAAAAATGACCTGCTACTTGTTACTCATAGTATTTCAGCTCTTGCTTCCATGAATCATTTATGTATATATAAAATTTCTAAATAACTCCATTTATTTATTAAGCACCTACTTTGTTTCCAGGGACTGTGTCTTTTGGACAAATGTTTATAGAATTCATGAGGGAAAGGAGACCTTTTATGTAGTTATTTCGTCAATGTCACTAAATGGTATTCTGTTGAACTAAAATTTAGTACCCAGTTTGTATCTGGGAAGCATCTTATTAATTTATATGGTTTAATATGATATATATTGGTAAATGTACTAATATGTTCAAATACCTAATAAATAAAAAGAAAATTTAAATATTAGTTGTTTTAATGATGCATTGAAATGATGCATCTGTCTAGTATTGGTTCATTTTTCTTCCTCTTTATGAAATTTTGATGTATGCCATAGAGATTGTTTTACTTGCCATGTTCTTGGCTACAAGGAATTTTGTTTTGTAGCGTAGCTTAATAAATTTTTGTAAAGAAAATTCTAAGTGCTATAATTTCCTTTGATTCCTGATGTTAGTCCAGAATCAAATAGGTAAATCAATAAGGTCAATTATTGAGAAAATCAGATATTATGTGTAAGGTGCATGTGTTTTAATTTGATGAGGCTACATGATAAGGAAGTCTCATTGTTTCAGAAATAATTTTTTCTTCCATAGGGTTTCAAACATTTCAAATCAGTCGACTATTTATTTGAGCTGTACTTTTAAAAATATTGCTATCACATAAGGGGAAAAGATATTACATGTAATTATTAGTTGTGACAGTGATAATAGCCTGCTTTTACATAACACTTTACAGATTGCAAAATATTTTCCTTCTCCAAGGTCATCCAGTTAAATGGCTGAGCCAAGTCTTAAACTTAGATCTTCTGACTCTAACTTTAGTGCCCTTTCTGCTACATTATATAGTTTATAAATATATGTAGGCAGTGCTTCTGTTTTCTCAGAATGCTTTCTCTTGGCTGTTACAGTGAATCCTAATATTTTATTTTAGCCAATATTACATTCAGCCATGCTGTCCTACTAAAAAAACTTTTGAATCAAAACCATTAACAAAGAACACAATTAGCTACTGAAAGGTAAATCTTTCCACATACTTTATCTTGTAGAGAAGACCTGAATAAACTACAAAAGTTCAAATAAGGAACTGAATAAACAAAAAGCCTAGATAAGTTAGTAATCCTAATAATTATATAGCCTTCTGAATAATTAGCCACTTTATAAAATTAGAATATAAAATTTTTTCATTAGAAACATTGTCTTATGCTTGTTTTCTTATTCATACATTGCCTTAGTCATGCAGCGTGTAGGCATTGAGTACATACTTGATAAATAATTTAATTTTAATGATGAGTTATCCAGTTAATTAAACATGCCATCTTAAATCTGTTGTATTTTCTAAGTACCTGCAAGAATTGTTACCAAAACGGAGGGGCAGCTAGGTGGCGCAGTGGATAGAGGTCTGGCCTTGGAGTCAAGAGGATCTGAGTTCAAAGCTGGTATCAGACACACAACATACACAACACTTACTAGCTGTGTGACCCTGGGCAAGTCACTTAACCCTGATTGCCTAGCAAAAAGCAAAACAAAACAAAAAAAAAGAATTGTTACCAAAACTTTGGTTCAATTTCTTTTCCTAACAGGAACATGCTCCTGATATGGTATACCTGGGATCCCTAACAAATTTTGACTTGGCTTATGCTTGGACTCAAGATAAATGTGTTCCTCTTGTTCGGGAAATAACATTTGAAAATGGAGAGGTATGGAATTTTCAGCATTGTCTTTTTAATTTATATTTTTCTAAGAGCAAGGTTTCTGTATCCCTCAGATGCAAAAATAATTCATTTGTGTGCTTTTATAATTGAAGATGGAGAAAAAGAAATTACTGCCTTTATGGCCCCCTATTCTCTTTAAGACAGATTTAATCATAGTAAAAATGAAAGCTCTACTAAAGTCTTCCTAATGCCTCATCTTGGTTGGAGGTGACCTTTGATTTTTCAAAGACCATTCCAGGAGAGTGTAAGTAAGTTTCGGCAGATCCTATTAAGTTGGAAAAGGTGGTAGTAGACTATATGCATGCATTTCATCTGGGGACCAACAAAGCTAAATGTGGAAAGGCCTATCACCAGAAGACTGGCCACTATAGGGGATGAATTTTTTTCAGCCACAGCAGCTTCTGAAGACCTTCTACCAGTACATGGAAGGGTTATGATCTACATTGATAGAAGGAATGATGACACTCTGCTGAGATCACAATAAATTAAAGTGTACATCTAAGTAAAAATGAACATGACTATGAAGCTAGTTAAAATTATAAAATTCTGTGGCAAAGTTACTTTAGTGTTCTACAAGGTACCTATAGATATAATGCTTTCTTTGTACATCATATTTTTAAATAATAATTATGATAATTTATATTCATATAGTGCTTTGAGGCCTATAAAGTGCTGTCATTGCAACTAATTATCACCTTTGAGATAATGCAGCTAGCATCCTTGTTTTTTAGATGAGAAAGAAGCTTAGAAAAGACTAAAGCACTTGCTTATGGTCATATAGCTAATAGTATCTGAAGATCTTTTGATTCCAAACCCAGTGATCTTTCCTGTGTATCAGGTGTTCTTATGATGTCTGAGTATATTTGAGGAGGTCATTGAACTTGGACGGGGAGAAAAATTAAGTCTTTATTTTCACTAACTTTTTCCCTTTGTAATCCTATATGTTTTATTTTATGCATTTAAAAACATTATATATATGTACACACATATATATGTATATGTATCTTATATAAGTACTTTCTCCAATCAGTATCTGAATAATAATTGTTTGTGTGCTATTTGAATTGAAGATAGAGACAAAGCAGTTAACCCTTTGTGTCCTCTCTACCAAATCCAGAGCACACACCTAAACTCTTGAGTTTTGTACCAGTGTAAAATAAATTCTCAAAAGATCCAGGAATCTAAAAAGAGAAAGATTGAAAAATTGAACTGGTTCTTTAGCCCAACTGACTCTTAGGTCTTGCTTTTCTTATCCCATGTGAGTTATTTTGGAATACATTCATTTTAAGTAAAACACTCTTTTGTACAAAGTAACATGACTGCCTTCCCTCCCCTCCCCTAAAATAGGTCATATGTAGTTGCTGAGCCTTTCAGAGGCCAAGAAGATGGGGCAAAGTTGCTGAACCCAGAACTCAGAGTAGATAAATCACAAATTATGCCAGTTCAATAAATTGTCTTTTCAAGCAGTTAAGGTTTCATGAAAACAGATTAAACGTCCCATTTTGTTTGCTATTAAGGGATTTTACCTTTGCTTGAAAGTCATATGACTTCAAATTACAGATACATTAGCAATTCACAAACAAGCTTTATAAACTTGAGAGCTGTTAACTTATCAGTTTCTGAGACTGCTTAAAAATCTCTTATGATCTTTTGAGGTACTCTTAACTCCTAGCTAGAAGTGGAAGATCCATAGGTTTAGAGCCAAAAGTGACCTTAGAAGTCATCTAGGCTAACTTCTTTTATAGGTGAGAAAAAGTTTCAGAGATGTTAAATGCCTGAGGTCTTACAGATACTAGGTGACAGTTTTGATCCAAGGTTTCCTGACTCTTTAGTACTCTTTCCTCTGAACACCTTATGTTTATATTTCCAGGTAAAACCATATCTTTTTTTTCCTGTAGCTTATGTTTTTTCTTTTAACTATTTAGATGTAATGCATGTATGCTAAGTATTATAATTAATTCATTATCAATGCTATTTTTAAGCAAAATGTAGTTTTCCTGTTTGTTTCTTTGAATTAAGTCTATTTTTACCATTGCCATGTCTGGGATCATGATTGCTACCTCCTTTTTTTTTTTAGTTCAGCTGAGGAAAAATAGATTTTTGCTGTAGTCCCTTATTTTAACTCTGTATAAGTCTTTATGTTTCAAGTGTGTTTCTTGTAAAAAACATATTGTTGGATTCTGCTTTCTTATCTATTCTTTTTCCATTTTATTCATGAGTTCATCCTATTTATATTCAGTTTTGTTTGCTAATTGTGTATTTCTCTCTACCCTATTCTCTTAAACTTTTTCTTCCAGTTAAATTCAGTAAACATTTATTAAGTGCCTACTGTGTGCCAGTCACTATGTTAAGCTCTGAGGATAGTAAGAAAAAAAATACAGTCCTTGCTCTCAAGGAGCTTACAATCTAATGGGGAAAGACAAAACACACAAGGAAACTAGAAAACAAAGTAGGGGTATAGGGAAGGAAGTCACCAGGGGTACCTTGTTCTCAGCAGTTGAAACTAAGGAGAGCTTGTAATCAGGTTTTTTTCTTTCTTTTTAAAGCCCCCTTCAGAGCCCACCTTGGAGTTTAGGGTTTGTTATATTTGTGACTAACCTACTCTGTCTAAATCTGCTTTCTCTTTTATTCTCCCTTTTCCCCTCTCATTTCCCTGTTGTGTTGAATATATTTCTATACCAAATTGTGTGTGTGTGTGTGTGTGTTTGTGTGTGTGTGTGTGTGTGCGCGCTCCACCCTGATTTTACCAGTTCAGATAAAAATGAGGTTCAAGTGACTTCTGATCCAAGACCTTCCTTTTTTTATGTAGACTTCTACTTGCTCCCTCTGATTATGTGATCATATTCTTCCCTAGTGTACCCTTTCTCCTTTCCTTTCCATTCGTCTTTTAAAATCATTAAAACCTATAAAATCCACTCCCTATCCCTCTGTCTCGACTCCTTCTATAATCTTTAATGATAGTGGGTTTCTGAGGGAACACTTCTCTCTTGTTTCTCCTTCCTATTAATATGTAAACACTTTATCCTTATGATAGCTCATTTATATTTATCTTTTTATGTTTCTCTTAATTACATTGTTCATGTTTCAAAGTTTCTACTCAGCTTTTCATCTGGAATGTATAGAGGTCTTCTGTGTCATTAAAAATCAGTTTTTGTCCTTTAGGAATTATATGCAGTTTCCCTGGGTAAATTATTCTTGATTGTAAACCTTTATCTTTTTGCATCTTGAAATATTGCATTCTGTGCTTTCCCTTCCTTTATAGGTAGTAGTTGCTAAAACTTGTGTGATCTTGACTGTGGTTCCTTGGTATTTGAATTTTCTTTCTGTTTGTAATATTTTTTCTTTGACTTGGGAGCTCTAGATTTTGGGTGTGACATTCCTAGGAGTTTCAGGATGTATCTGTAAATTCCTTCTATTTTTACTTTGCTTTCTTATTCCAATATATCTAGGCAGTTTTCTTTTATAATTTCTTTTTTTATATAAAATTCAATTTTATTTTGTTTTCAGCTCTTAATCCTTTTCCTCCCATCTCTTCCTCCCTCCATTAAGAAAGCAACAAAAACAAAATCTATTACAAACATGTACAGTCAAATAAGACAAATCCTCACATTAGCTATGTCCAACAAAAATGCTTCAATCTGCACTCAGAATCCATTACCTCCTTATCTTGAGGTGGGCAGCATGTTTTATCATAAGCCCTGTGGAATTGTGGTTGGTTCTTAACTTCTAATTTTTAGGGAATCTATCACTTGGATGAAGTTTTGTATTTCTTGTACTAAGTTATTAATTCTTTCTAGGATTCTTCTTCATAGATCATATTTCTCTATTGATTCTTTCCTCTAGCACTCTCATTTCATTATTTTTTTTTAATGAGACAGTGGGGTTAAGTGACTTGCCCAGGGTCACACAGCAAGTGACTTATATGTGTGAGGCCGGGTTGGAACTCTGGTCCTCCTGACTCTAAGGCCGGAGCTCTATCCACTGCGCCACCTAGCTGCCCCTTATTTCATTTTTAACATCATTTTTTAATTCTTCATTTTTCTTCATATTTCTTCAAGGAATTCTAAATGTTCTTGTGGTTCTTTTAAGGCTTTACTTATACATGTTTTGGAGTTATTCTCTTTTGGATTTATGACTTATTCATTTTACCATTGGGAATGTTTATTAGGGCCAGAATTTATTCATTTCTGCTAGGACTGTTATGGCCATATGTAGTTTTGTCTTGTCTTATCAAGTTCCTACTACTGTTTTCCTGGTAAGGAGGGCTTCAATGAGTGAGTTGCAAATTTTCAGCAGACCCTGTGTGGTCCAATCAAGGGCACAGTCTGATCACTGCCATTATGAAGCTGCAGGTTTGCAGATTGGAGCTCCAGAGAAAAATGTGCTGGCCTTAGCCCCACCCTCTCAAGTGGCTGGGTCTGTAGGTATCAAGTGATACTGCTTCCAGTTTACATCTATTTTTCACCCTGGAACTGAGTTTTGCCATGCCCAATCTATGTCAGACAGATGGAGCTGAAGCTCTGTTCTGCATCAGGTCCTAAGTGTGTGATGATTCCCTCTCCTGGATTAAAGCAACAAAGCCCTAGTCTGGCTCTAGGAACTCCTTTGTGCTTTAAGCAGCTGAGCTGCACTCCTGTGCTTTGCCTTGGGGTTTGAATCTTTAATCTACCTTCAGGTTTTAAGGGAGAGTGAGACAGTGCTGCTGGCCTGTCTTGTTCCCCTTGTCTGGCTCTGCTTTCCTGGCCTACTCGTGCTCCACTATTCCTGCCTTGGTTATTTACGTAAAGGTGGAATTTGTAATCTTTTTTTTTTTTTGGTGAGGCAATTAGGGTTAAGTGACTTGCTCAGAGTCACACAGCTAGTATCTGTGTGTCTGAGACTGGATTTGAACTCAGGTCCTCCTAACTCCAAGGCCAGAGCTCTATCCACTGCGCCATCTAGCTGCCCCTGGAATTTGTAATCTTAGTAAAGAAAGATGATCTTCT